CGCGACAGGTCACACGCGGACGCTCCAGCCTCCCAGCGCACCACCTCGCCTTCTCTGTCGCCCTCCTGGCCCAGGCCCATCAGTAGCACGTCTGAGCTGTCCCAGACCGTCCTTATTTTGGGACTGCAAGCTCACACCGGCTCGTGATGCCACGGAGAGGGCTCGGGATTGTCTCCGGTGGACCCCATCCGAGGCGATTGCGAGGGCATTCCGGAGGTCATTATCGGCGCCAACGACCGTGATATGTCTCGTCCCGCTGCCCTCATGCGCCAAGTGCATGGATGCAGTCATAATATGTAGGCCTTGTCTCCCGAAGGTTTGAGCAATAGCCGCAAACAACGCTTCGTGCCACTTGCATCGCGACAAGGTCACACGCGGACGCTCCAGCCTCCCAGCGCACCACCTCGCCTTCTCTGTCGCCCTCCTGGCCCAGGCCCATCAGTAGCACGTCTGAGCCGTCCCAGACCGCACTTACCTTGGGACTGCAAGCTCACACCGGCTCGTGATGCCACGGAGAGGGCTCGGGATTGTCTCCGGTGGACCCCATCCGAGGCGATTGCGAGGGCATTCCGGAGGTCATTATCGGCGCCAACGACCGTGATATGTCTCGTCCCGCTGCCCTCATGCGCCAAGTGCATGGATGCAGTCATAATATGTAGGCCTTGCCTCCCGAAGGTTTGAGCAATAGCCGCAAACAACGCTTCGTGCCACATGCATCGCGACAAGGTCACACGCGGACGCTCCAGCCTCCCAGCGCACCACCTCGCCTTCTCTGTCGCCCTCCTGGCCCAGGCCCATCAGTAGCACGTCTGAGCCGTCCCAGACCGCACTTACCTTGGGACTGCAAGCTCACACCGGCTCGTGATGTCACGGAGAGGGCTCGGGATTGTCTCCCTGTTGTCTCCGGTGGACCCCATCCGAGGCGATTGCGAGGGCATTCCGGAGGTCATTATCGGCGCCAACGACCGTGATATGTCTCGTCCCGCTGCCCTCATGCGCCAAGTGCATGGATGCAGTCATAATATGTAGGCCTTGTCTCCCGAAGGTTTGAGCAATAGCCGCAAACAACGCTTCGTGCCACTTGCATCGCGACAAGGTCACACGCGGACGCTCCAGCCTCCCAGCGCACCACCTCGCCTTCTCTGTCGCCCTCCTGGCCCAGGCCCATCAGTAGCACGTCTGAGCCGTCCCAGACCGCACTTACCTTGGGACTGCAAGCTCACACCGGCTCGTGATGCCACGGAGAGGGCTCGGGATTGTCTCCGGTGGACCCCATCCGAGGCGATTGCGAGGGCATTCCGGAGGTCATTATCGGCGCCAACGACCGTGATATGTCTCGTCCCGCTGCCCTCATGCGCCAAGTGCATGGATGCAGTCATAATATGTAGGCCTTGTCTCCCGAAGGTTTGAGCAATAGCCGCAAACAACGCTTCGTGCCACTTGCATCGCGACAAGGTCACACGCGGACGCTCCAGCCTCCCAGCGCACCACCTCGCCTTCTCTGTCGCCCTCCTGGCCCAGGCCCATCAGTAGCACGTCTGAGCCGTCCCAGACCGTCCTTATTTTGGGTGATGAAGCCCACTCTGGCTCATACCACGGCTCTTACGGCCTCATACACGCCCGTTTCACCCACAGACACCGCCGGCACGCACTCCCACTTCACACATGCTCAAGCACAACCCCACCAAAGCACAGCCCTGCTCAGAGTAGTCGTGAACCACCCTTTGGCAGCCGTGGAAGCCCCACAGCCGCTGCTTCTCTCGGCTCCTCTCAATGCATGTCGTGCACCACCCCACGACAGCCCACCGAAAGAGCACTATTTACAACGTCAGCCACCTCGCCGGAGGTAGTTGCGACTGGGAACGCCGGAAGCTCGACGCTCGAGCACGTGTGGCAAAGTTTTGCGACATCCTGCGACTCGCTCGACCCCCGAGGGCTGCCGGCCGCCGACAGCAACAGCCAACACCGAGACCGGTTGCCCAGGGCCCGTGGACCGGTACGGACGGCAGGTACCCACGGGACCGCTGCGGCGGGCCTGGGAGGCGCCACGAGTCCCAATGACGCACGGGCGGCGCACTTCCCCAAGCTGGAAATAGGCCTTTAACATAACACGTAAAATCGGCCGAGGTGCCGATCTCAACTCGGTTGCGTCAAAATATAAAATAAAGGTGAAATTCCCGGACAGAAGCTTCGTGTTACGTGTCTTCATGTGTGAGCGTAAAGAACCCTGCACAAAGACCGCAAGGGCGGGGACCTGTTCCTTTTTACCCAAGAGAGAGAGAGAGGGAGGGAGAGAGAGAGGGGGAGAGAGAGAGAGAGGGAGAGAGAGAGAGACAGAGAGAGAGAGAGAGAGGGAGGGGGGGGGGGGGGGGAGAGGAGAGCTTCTAGGGGAGCCCCATCAACCCCATCACTCACGCGGTGGGATCGCAGGTGTCCCTGCCCGCCTCCTTGCGGGCGTAGAAAAGCGCTGCCTGCTCGGCGGTGGCGAAGAGGCCGAGGTGGACACTCTTGCCTCCTCCACCCGTCACCCGCAGCTTGTACTTCTTGCTGCCACTCCGCGTCGGCTCGTAGACGACGCCTTTGTAGCCGCTGTTGTTGCTGCTGCTCGTGGCCAGAGTCAGGCCCTCCCTCTCCGCCTGCCGGACCGCCTCGGCGCCAGCGGGAGAGGTAGGTGCGCGAGGCGGCGGCGGCGCGGTGAGATCGCAGGTGTCCCTGCCCGCCTCCTTGCGGGCGTAGAAAAGCGCTGCCTGCTCGGCGGTGGCGAACATGCCGAGGTGGACTTGTTTGCCACCACTCGTCACCGTCAGCTTGTACTTCTTGCTGCCGCTCTGCTTCGGGCGGTAGCAGACGCCTTTGTAGCCGCTGTTGCTGCTGCCCGTGGCCAGCGTAAGCCCCTCGCGGTCCGCCTGCCGGACAGCCTCGGCGCCCGCGGCGGTGATGGTGCGCGCGGCGGCCTGCGCGACCGGCGCGGCCGGCGGCGCGCCACCGCCGCCCGCCTCGTCGGCGGAGGGGCCGCCGAGGCGCGCCCGCCCGCTCGAGCCGACACCCCGCGGCGCCTCCTCCTCCTCCTCCCCCCCTCCCTCCCTCTGCCCCCCCTCGCATCGCCGCCGCTTTGCTCGGCGGGTGCCCTCCGCCGCTGCCTCGAGCACGGCCTCGCCAACCCACGCGCTGGTCGTCCCGATGAACGTGAGCCATGACGCACTGCCCGCAGAGGGCGCCGCCGCACCGCCTGCCGGCGGCGAGGCAGCCTCCGCAGGCAGCACCTCGGCCGGTGTCGCTGGCGCGGCCGTCGCCGCCGCCGCCTCCACAGCCGGCACCTGGCAGGCGAAGGGCGAAGAGCGTGAGAGAGAGACAGCCGCGCGCGACTCAGAATCTGCGGGCGTGGTTTGGGAACCGGCACCGGCACTGGCGGTGCCTGCTGGCCGCCGGGGCCTGCAGCGAGCGTCGGCGCGGGTGCCGGAAGCAGCACCAGCTGCGGCTGCAGGCACTCGCGCGTGCAGCGCTGGCACGGCGAAGCTGGCGTCGTCGCCATGTCGACCGGCCGCAGCGGCCGCTCTCCTCGCGACGCGCCGGTCCAGTCGAGCGCGTCGTGCCGTAGGCGGCCAAGCTTGCGCTTCGTGTCGGCCTGGCGGGCCGCCTTCTCAAAGCACGTCAGGCAGACGGCGGTCCCGCATGCGGGGTCGCAGCGCGGGCAGGCGTGCGTCGCCTCGCCAAGGCACATCCAGCAGATTAGACCGTTGTGAGACGCCATCGTTGGCGGCAATCTCTTTTCTTTTTTGAGAGCGCCTTCGTTGTTAATAGTACAAACTTTTCTTTTCGAACACGTTGTGTGTCCTCTCGAGGTTCTCGAGGTGGATATCCTTTGGCCGCGTTGGGTAGCGAGGATTGGTGTAACCCAAGCCACGGAGGCGTGTTTTCTGACGGCGGTCCCGTATGCGACGTCGCAGCGCGGGCAGGCGTGCGTCGCCCCGCCAAGGCACATCCAGCAGTCAAGACCGTTGTAAGACGCCATCGTTGGCGCGAAGTTCTTTTCTTTTTTCGAACACGTCGAGGCAACCGATGCGAGTCGACTGGGTGGTGTCGTGGTGTGTCGTCGTTCGTGGTTTCGTATGAAGAATATCGTGTGTCTGGAGATGCCCTCGGGTCGCGTTGAACGCAGGCCAAGTCAGGTTTTTGCTCATGGTGCATTCACTCACACCACCGCAGTACAATCGATTGAGTCCGGTTTTTTTTATGCGTATGATTGTAAGGGCGTGGGGACCCGCCCCAGGACAGGCTCTGGCGTTCGATGGAGCGCTCTGGTGCCGAGGAGAGCCGCTGGCACGAGGTAGATGTGAAGCCACGACGGGTCGATACAGCAGGCCGACCAGAGAGTGCAGAGTGAGCACTGCCCCTCTCCAGGCGACTCGTCTGGCATGGCCCCGTTCGCGGCTAAACGCACCGTCTCCCGCGCGAGCGAAGCGGGTTTCCCACTCCTCTCGCCCCCCCCCCCCCCCACACACACACACCACCAACAACAACAACCACCACAACCACCACCACCACCAACCACCACCACCACCACCTACCTACCTATTGCGGGGCCCTCTGGGGGGTCCCCCTATAAGGGTAGGGGGTGCTAGGGGGCCGCCTCTGCCATGGCGCCCACCATGGACGAGCTCGTGCGGCAGCTCCAGGAGGCCACCGGCCTCAGCGGCGAAGAGCCCTCCACATGCGCGCTTGGTGGGAAGCCGCGTGCCTTTGAGCGGTTCCTCATCGCCCACAAGCTTGACGTTCGAGCCGCGGCCGCTGCCCTCCGAGACACGCTCCGCTTCCGAGCCGAGCACAGCCTGGATGACAGTGGCGCTGGGTCGCACGCGCGCAAGATGGTGCTCGCCAAGGTGGCGCCGCATTGGCCTGGCGGCCTCGTCACGAGCATCGCCGGCGGCTCTGGGGTGTACTATTTTGGGTACGGCCCGCTCCGGCCTCGGAAGCTGATGCGTGACATCTCCGAGTCGGAGCTCCGCACCTTCTACCTCCACTTCGTGGAGGGG